ACCGACACACACTGAGTGCAGAAGTGGTACCACAGAAAAGAGCGGAAACCACAGCGTAAAAGCCTACGCAGAATAAGACAGAAGACAATGGGCTGGGACAGAGGTAGAGCCTCATAATCCGTCTTCCATGGTCTGTGTGCAGTGATACGGAGCAAGCAGCGCGCTGCGGCAGCGTCACATTCACGCTCGCTGTCCCCCTCAGCGACAGCGAGCGCTGCTTCGCGTCTCCCCAGCCCGACCCGCGTTGGTACTGAAGCGCGGGCAGGAGGAGATGGCTTCACGGCCGAGGAGCACGGCTACGACGTGTGTGTCGCACGGCTACGACGCGTGCGTCGCACGGCTACAGGGCTGACCGCGTGCTGGTGGGGATGACGGGGAGGCGCGGCGTAGCTCAGTGCTCAGCACGTGGGTCCTGACAGGAGTGAGAGCAGGGCAGAAAGCTCGGAGGCAAGTACTGTTCGATGCCGAGGGTCTCGTGCTGAGGTTAATTCACTGCCCGGCTCTGACAGCCTTGGGGAAGGCATTTTATCTCTGTATCTTGGTAGGGTCTTTTTCCTCCATCTGCACAGCAAGGGAGAGCCCATTCCTATGGTTGGACTTGATGATCTTAGAGGTCTTTTCCAATCCTCATGATTCTACACCTCTACCTCAGACCGTGCAAAGTCTGACTTCTCACCAAAGTGCTTCGAGATCCTCTCATGGCTCACACGCTCAAACCACCACCTCCCCAGGCCTCCACACCGTCCCCTGTGCAGCCACATGCTGGCCACCCCCCAAGCCCTCCCCAGATGTGGGTTCAGAGACCCAGCAGCAGAGAGATGTGGGCGGGAGGGGAAGAAAACTGCACCAGGGAGAGAAACATCAAGAAAGGGACCAAGGAGCTCCCAGAGCTACGACGCACGACAGCAGTGATGCGGCTACCAGCCCAGGAGCGAGGCAGCCCCTTGTCAAGCCCAGGGACCCCAGACCATCACGCAGCAAAGGCCCAGCCCCTCGTGTCCCCCCGGCCGTCCCCAGGACTGCCGTGCGCATGCTACAGACACATCTTCAAAGCGCTCTTACTTTTAAACCTTGCATTTTGCACGCTCAGAGCAGCGACCTGCACCAGCCCCCCGGGGGGTCCGACCACCCGGGGGGCCCCTAGAGATGGTCCAGGGGGTGTTAAACCAGGCACAGCTCTGCCTGTCCCCACCCGAGGATCTCACCCTTCATCTCTCAGATCACGCCTCCCACCTCAGCTCCTCGGCTCCCAACCCCAAAACCAGGGCAAGGATCCTTCTGTCCTTCCGCCCATCACGGGCTGGAGGACGCCGCGCTCCCCAGGCGGGATCGTCTCAGGCAGCGGGGCTCAGCTCACCCAGGGACCTTCTAAACCAGGGCCACCACAACGAGCAATGGTGATACCCGGGTCCCCCGTCCGGCACAGGCAGGGGCACGGCCCGCCCACAGCCAACAC